TCTTCGAGGAAAAATGACTCCACCATCTCGAGTATTGTAACGTTTTGTATTTTTGAAACGAATTGTAACTGCTGTTACAACGAGAACGAGACGTTTCTCAAAGAATGAAGACGTGTTTCCAAAGGTTACATAATTTTCAAGGGTATCGCACGAAGATATAAAAAGGAATGACGCGATAAGTTAACCCTCGCCCGATAGCGTCGAACGCTTGGCGAATAGCTGACAATGTGACGCCAGTCGCGATAACAAAAGAAACAAATGAACCTCGTCAAATTTACCGTAAAAGTGCGCTTATCCGGCGAGAACCTTGCTGATAAATTCGAAACGATAGCTTCGCGTTAATATTAAAGTATCTTCAAATATTTGATTTATTTTTGTCTCGAGAAGCATCTCGAAAGTCGCACGAATGCCAAGTATCGTTTCATTTAAATCGATATTTGCTTTCCTTTTCACAAATCTATACCGGTCAAGTATTGAAAGAATTGAAATGATCTGAATCTTGCGACGCAGGATCGTGTTTTAGTTTTTTAGTTTCCAAAAACAAAATTACGGAGAGGCCGAATTTGCTGAGAGATGTGTAATTGTGTCAATTTGCAGAGTGTCACCTTTAAAGATACCCAGGGCAAGGTCACAAAGGCCGCCGAGAAAGCCCAGAAGAAAAAGTAACCATCAAGCTTCCTCGGAAGCTCGCAGACCGCCGGCTGGTGCCCGGAGACGAGCGTCCTCTCCTCCGCGAGGGGGCCCTCCGACAGGACGCAGTACGCCGCGGCTGCTCCAATCAACTCATACTCGGCTAATAATAATAATACAAAAAGTGAAAAGATGTTGTGCTTACCCCCGTTACATTATCCGGTAGTATTGAATCCGCGCATCTATCCGAATTTGCACATTCAGTTCACCCACGCCCCGCGCACACCCCACATATGCTAGGTAGATTCTTACGTTTTTACTTAATTCTTTACATTGACGAATATGTGTCCAATTACAGGTTAAAAACAAAACAATTCAAAAAAACGTAAAAGAACAAAAAAGCAAAAAAAAAAAAAAAAAAAAA